AACCCATCAATCTCTCGCTCCCAGCCCTATGGATCCTCTGCACATGGTAAGTGATTAATACTGTTTAATGACCCAAGGAAGCGATAAAACCGCCTTAGGCTTCCCGGCTTTAGCTGCAGAATTGAAGAGTGGTAAAACTAGGTGAGAATATCCGTTTAGAAGTTAGGGGTCTGGACGAGCTGAGGACGTCCGGTGGCCCCGCTGGCGGCCTGGCGCCCCTCCCAGGTACTGCTCCTCGGGAGCGATGCTTCCCAGCGCCTGGAGCCCATCGTAGTGGGCTGCGGGACCGCGACGTGGGTCAGGATCAGGATTTGTACAAGAATGGACAGAGCGCAGAAAAACATCGGACCGCGGATCGGGGGCACAGGGCATTTACTTCATCAAACTTTTTTTCCCCCCCTCTCAGTTTTATACACACACAGATCTGTGTCACGATGTAAAACGTCATTCCTTAGTATGAGTCATGGTCAAAAAAGTTGGAAAGCCACTGCCCTAGATGAGTTTTCACACACAGGCACCCGCAGACCTGTGCAGGAAGGTGGGCTGCAGTGTCCTTAGGAATAACCCCCCCAGCTGGAAGCAACCGCCCCCCATCTGACAGGAGAAAGGGACACTGTCCTCCAGTCCTAAAGTGAAACCCACCCAGGACAGTGGGGAGTGAAGTAGTTTTGCATTTTAACACAGATGAGTCTCAATGTTGAGCCAAAAACCAAAACAAAAAAAGCAAAAACTAGTTGCAGAAGAATACGGTATGACATCATCTATGTGAAATCCAGAGCCTGGTGACATAAAGCCGTTGTCAGGATGCATGCATAGGCATTAAAGGTAGTAAAGAAACGAAGACCATGAAAGCCGAGTTAGCAGTCATCTCCTGCGGGAGTGAAGGGGGGCTGCGAATGGGAGGGGACACACTGAACGCTTTGGGGTGCTGGAAATGTTCTATCTCCTGACCTGGGCAATGGTTACATGGGTGTTTTTGCTTTGTAACTCTTTGTTAAATGATACATATGTCTGTATATTAAGTTTCCTCCCAAATACATTAAAATATGGGCATCTCAAAATGAAGAAACCTGAAGCCAGGGTTCTAGTCTATTATTCATATTTTCCAGCTGCTCTTAAAGAAAAAAAAAAGTCATGATTAGGGAGAGGTATCTAGGGAATTTAATATCAGTAATATTTTATTTCATATATATCAGGTTCATTAAATTTTTTAGTGTTTTTATGTCCTAAATAACATAATATTTTAAAATGTTTAGAATAAAATGAAAAGCACTCACAGATGATATGAACATTTTGATGTGTTTGTTTTCTAAAATGCGATTTTTGTGTATCTTACAAAACGGAAATTCTATTTTATATGGTAATTTAAACTAAAATAAAATCATTTTATAAAAAATTATATACTGAAAAACATGTAAAAACAACAGACTTTCATCAGGGATTTTAAAATGCTAACTTGCTGTCACACTTCAAAAATTTCAGTTCCTCAGTCACTCTAAGCCACATTTTAAGTGCTCAGTAGCCAAGTGTGACTAGTGGCTATTATATTTTATGATATTTTATACTATACTATATTGTTTAACAGAACATTTCCGTCATTGCAGAAATTTGTATTGGAACACATTGTTCAAGATACAAACCCTTTGTTGGTTATATAAACTAAAGACAATCTTTCCTTTGTGCTTTTGTGTCTTAAGATATTCTCTACTATTAAGGTAATATATTTTGAAATTTTTTCCTAAAAAATTTTCAAGTTTCTAGCTTTTACATATTTAGATCTTTAATTTTTCTGACACATATATGCATATATGTTTATGTCAATGTATAGTTTTTATTTATGTTGTGTGATTAAGATTAATCTGTTTTCTTTTTCCGGTGTGGAGCAGTCCTGGGACCAGTGGTCTGCAGTGCCACCTCCGTCATAAACATATTCACACATATGCTTGGGCTCATTTCTCGGCTCTTTANGTTGTGTGATTAAGATTAATCTGTTTTCTTTTTCCGGTGTGGAGCAGTCCTGGGACCAGTGGTCTGCAGTGCCACCTCCGTCATAAACATATTCACACATATGCTTGGGCTCGTTTCTCGGCTCTTTACACTGGTCATTGATTTGTCTCTGCTAATTCTACAGATTTTTTTTTTTTTTACTATTGCTTTATATTTAGTATATTTTTCAGTTCTAGGAATTAAAACTTTTTTCATTATATTTTTTCTTTTTTTATGAGATTTTTTAGAAATATTTTTTAGTTCCAAACATGGAAGTTTTTATGAGTTCTTCTTTTGTTACTGGTTTCTAACTTTGCATTGTAGTCAGCAGATGAGGGCTCTATGCTACCGATTCTTTGAAATTTGAGAATAGCTTTATGGCCTCATGGTGACTTTTTCAATTGCTCCTTGAATAATTTAGAAGAATATGTATTCACAGACTTTTGGGGCAAGATAGGTATGTGTATACACACACACACATACACACACATATATACATGTATATATACACATATCCGTATATACACATATATGTCTTAGATCAAGCATAAGAATTGTGGCTCTCAAATCTTTTTAACCTTACTAGTATTTTGCTTTGTTTGATCTATCAATTACTGAGATGGGTGTAATAAAAAACCACAATAAAATATTTTCTCAATTTCTTCTTGTAATTCTCTCACCTTTGCTTTGTAAAAGTTGAAAATCTATGCAAGTTTGGAATTGCTGTATATTCTCTGTGAATTGGAGCTTTTGTCATTCTATAGCCGCCTCTCCCAAATGCCTTTTACCTTAAATCTGTTTTGTTTTATAATAGTGTAGTCACACCCTTTTTCTTAGTTAGCATTAGCTTAGACTGTCTCTTTCAAATAGGTAAAACCTTATTGTTTTTCTAATCCACACTGACAATCTTTGTGCTTTAACTGGAGCTCTCAGTCTAATTAAGTTTAATCTAATTATTGATATATTTAGAATTAAAGTTAGCATTCTATCTTATGGTTGTTTTTATCCTGCCTTCTTTGTGTGTGTGTTTTTCCTTTCTTTGCCACCTTTTGGATTTTTTATTATTCCATTTTCCTTCCTCTCAGCTAATATGAAAATTATATGTTTGATTTCTTTCTTTTAGTTTTCTTTAAAATTTTAATGAATAAACTTAACATACTCTAAAGTTTAATTCTATTCTTCTTCCAGATAACTCAAGAAACCTAGTTTGCTTTGACTCCAGTTAATTTCCTGGCTCACATATTATTGTCATCAGAGTTTTAATTCCATCTTGATTTTTTTTCTCCTATAAATTTGACTTTCTTTTTATGGATCCTTTGCTTGTCATTCCTTCTTGCATCTCAGATCTTTTTTTCTTCATCAAGTATATATTTTACATGTTTGTTTAGTAAGAGGCTGTTGATAGCAAACTTTATCTGAAAGTCTTTTATTTTCGTTCTTGAATAATGGTTTTGTTTGGTATATATTTCTCAGCCCTTTAGAAGTATGATGCCATTGACTTTGACTTCAGTGTTAGAGTTCAAATAACTGCTATTTGTTGGTAACCTTTTTTTTTTTGCCTGATTTTAAGATCTCTTTTCTCTTGTGTTCTACAGTTCTACGACGGAGTGAGTCCAGGTGTGGACATTTCATCTGTCCTGGATTGATTGTGTTTCCTGAGTCTAAGGTTAGTCTTTCATCAGTTCTCGAAAGTTTTATTTTATCTTTCCGTTTGTTCTTCCCCCATTTTTTCTTTTCATTCCTTCAGGAACTCTGATTTGACTTCTGTCAGGCTTTCCCATTCTGTCATCCATGTCTTTTCATTATAATCTAGCTCTTACATATTTTTATCCATGTTGAATTCTAAGTAATTTTAGACCTGGATTGTGATCTTTGTCTAATTTTTGTTTTCTTCTCCAAAATGAGCTATAATCTACATTCAATAAAGGCAAAAATAAAATGTGTGTCTTAATGAAATTTATTCCTGTGTGAACACCACCAGATAAAGATATAAAACATTTTCATCCCTGCAAAAGTTCCCTCCTGTTCCTTCCTATCAGTAGAGCCATTTCTCATCCCCAGTCAAGTACTCTCCTGACTTTGATCACCATGGGTGATTTTCAGGTATTGTTGAACTTCATATAAATGGAATCATATAGTTTATTCTTCTTGTGTTACTATCTTCTATTCAAAGGATATTTTTGAGATTCATCCATGTTGCAAATATAAGGAGGTTTTATGGTTTTTGCTTTATAACAAGGGATGGCAAACTATGGCCTGTCCGCCCAGTCCGGCCCAGAACATATTTTATTAAAATTTTATTGGACATAGCCATTTCCGTTCATCAGAGTCGAGTAGCTATAACAGAGACCATATGTCCCATGAAGCCTAAACTATTTTCTCTTGGACCATTTACAGAAAGTGTTTGGTTTATATGGATATACACAGTTTATTTATCATTTCTCTTGTTGATGAACACATATGAGCTGTTTTTAGTTTTGGGCCATTATAAATAAAATTACTATAGATGTTCATGACACTGCCATTGGTAAGTAGATAGTCTTATTTCTTGAATATATACCAAGGAGCTGAACTGGTGGTCCTGGGTAAGTTGGTTGCATTTCTGTGAATATTAATAATGTTAAACATCTTTTTATATCTTTATTGACCATTCAGACTTTTTTTGTGAAGTACCTGTTTAAATCTTTTGCCCACTTTTTTATTAGGTTATCTTTTTGTTAGTGATTTTTAGTTCTTTATATACTCTGATCATGAAACCTTTATCATATTTGTGAACATTTTCTACATGTCTGAAATTTGCCTGTTCTCTTAATGGTGCCTTGGGGTGACCGAATTTATTTTTATGAATAAATAAACCAATTTATCAATATTTGGTGGTGGGGGGGTGGTGAGGTGTTAGTGCTGTTTTGCACCCTGCCCACAATATTTTCTCCCAACCTCATTTTTGCCCTCCCTCAAACTCCTAAAGACATTTGCCTATGGTTTCCTCTAGAAGCTTTATCATTTTAGTCTTCACAGTTGGGTCTCTGATTTATCACTGGTTGATTTTTATATATGGTGTGAGGTAGGGGTCAAGATTTATTTTCCATATGGACATCCAACTGCTCTACAGATTTATTGAAAAGACCTTTCTTTTTCTATCAGATTGCAGTGGGGTATTTGTTAAAAATGAATGATCATATTTTGGATCCTTTTCTGGACTCTGTTCTGTTCCACTTGAGGTATTGATCAATTTTCCAGTAATACCACAATTTCTTAATTACTGTAGTTTATAGTAAGTCCTGACATACAGTACTGCAAAGCCTCCAATTTTGTTCTTCTTAAGGACTGTTTTAGCTATTTAAGTGCTCTGTATTTCTATATAAATTTTAGAATGAGCTCATTAATGTCTATTAAAAAAAAAGTACCAGACTTTTGATTGTGATTGCATTGACTCTACAGAATAAATTTTGGAGAATGGATATCTTAACAGAATCTTCCAATTTATGAACATGGTATATCTCTCCATTGAATAAGTTTTTCAGTTATTTCTAGCATTTTTTGTGTGTTTTTTTAGTGTAGAGAACCTACACATTATTAAATTTATTTCTAGGCATTTAATTTTTTGATGCTATTGTAAATATCCTTTTCTTAATTTTATTTTCCAGCCATCTTGCTAGTATATAGAAATACAATTGATTTTTGTATATCGAGCTTATATTTTGTGGCCTTGCTAAATTCACTTTTCAGTTCTAGTAGCTTGTAGGTTGTTGGGGATTTTATAAATGCACAATCACATCATCTGCAAAAAAAAAAATTAATTTGCCTGTCCAATCTTTATTTTTTCTTTTTCTTGCCTTATTGCATTAGTTGGGAACACTGGCAGAATATTTAACAGAAATGTTTAAAATGGATGTCCCTGCTTTTTTCTAAACTTAAGGGAAGATAAATCAATATTTCATTATTAAGGATAATGTTTACTGTATTTTTTTGTAGATGCCTTTTACCAGATTGAGGAATTTTTTTCTGTTTCTGGTTTCTAGAGATTTGTTTTCACTAATAGGTATTAAATTAAAAAAACTTTTTATTATTAAATAATTTTAGATTTATGGAGAATTGCAAAGATAGTATAGTGTTCCTACATACCTTCACCCACCTTCCTCTATGTTAACATCTTACATAACATGGTGCATTTACCAAAATTAAGAAATTAACATTGGTACAGTGCTATTAACTAAATGACAGACTTTATTCAGGCTTCCCCCCTTTTTCCACCAATGTTCTTTTTCTGTTCCAGGATCTAATCCATATACTACATTGCATTAAGTTGTCATGTCTCCCTAATCTACTCCAATTTGTGACAGTTTTTTAGTTTTTACTTGTTTTTCATGACCTTGCCACTTTTGAAGAGTCCTGGTCATGTATTTTGTACAATGTCCATCAGTTTGGGTTTGTCTGGTGTTTCCTTACTATTAGACTGAGGTTATGGACTTTGGAGGAAGAATACCACAGAGATGTGCCCTTCTGCTGCATCCTGTGTAGGGGAACATGATATCCACATCAGCATGTTTACCTTGATCACGGAGCTTAGATGGTGTCTGCCAGATTTCTCCATTGTAACATTACTATTCACTTTCTATCTATTCTGTTAGAAGCAAGTCCACAGTCATGGGGAGGAGAGGGGAAAGTATCAAATGATTTGTGGATATATGTTAAAACTACCACAGTCACTAGTAAAAATTTTGAGGGAGATATTTTGAGGGTTTGCACATGTCTTGTTTCTCCTTTAAGTTTGCTCCCTAATTTTAGCATTCAGCTTATCTTGCCTGCAATACTTACTGTTATGGTATTCTAATGGTTATTTTCCATTTCCTTCTTTCTTTCTACATTTATTAACTGGAATTCTGACTCTGGAGCCAGATTGCCTGGGTTGAATTCCTAGTTCTGCCTCTTCTTACTCTACAGTGTAAAATTGGACAATTACTTGACTTCGCTATATTTCAGTTTTCTCATCTATAAAATGTAGGTAAAGGTGCCTACCAAGAAGGTTGTTGAGCTAATTAATTGAGCTTATACTTAGCAAGGGCTAAGAATTGTGCTTAGTCCCTAAGGATGTACTTATATTTCTTAATGTGGTAGATTATTTTAATTTTAATTATTTTAATATATAATTATTAAGTCATCTTGTACTCCTGGATAAACCTTGCATATATTTATATGATCTGGATTTAACTTACTGTTTATCTTTTTTCATATAATATTTATGAGTCATACAGTGGCTCTTCTCTTGCCATAGCACAAGATGCAATGAATGATACAGATTCCTTAAAAAAAGATTACACAAGAGCTTAGCAACTGAGGTGGCAACATTCCCAGCTTTCTAGAGCGATTTGTATCTGAGTCTTTGGGTAGAGATAGAGATCAAGATAGCTCTTGCAAATGAGTCTTTTTCAGTATTGAATTGAGCAAATTCAAAACTTGGCATATACTGTGAAAAATGGCCCCTCGACAGGAAGGAAAATGATCTTAACTTTTCCACATGTTTCACCTTGCACGTTTCACTGTAGAGGTTTCAATATTTGGAATACTCTAAAGAATTCATTTGCCAGCAATAAATATTGAGCACTTTCCAAGTGCCAGGCAATGAGTTTTGCTGGTGTGGGACTCTTTGCTCTTGAGCGTGTGGGCCATGTCAGGATCATTCCAAAAGCTGAAGGCTGGCCTCCTCGAGTCATTGGAGGAAACTCAGTATCTGTTCAGTGTTTTAAAAGTGGGCAACACTAACTCTAATACCTTTTCTCTCTTTTTCTTTCACTCATCTGAGCATCTTGGATTAGGCCCTTAACATCCTATGTTTATTTCTCTCTCTGTTGATGTTTTCCTCACCTTTCTAGCATGGCTGATGACCACTGGGGTCAGTTCCCTGAAAAAAATCCTTCAGTGACAACCCAGGACTTAAGAAAACAGGTCTTTGACTTTTTGGCCTGACAATGGTCCCCCTTTGTCTAGTCCCGACTTGTTTTACCAGCCTCATAGTCTTCTCAGAATTAGTCCAGTGGCACAGTTGATCTTATCCACTCATCAGAATTTGAAGTCACTGTACTGTGTTGGAGGCTCTGCTTTTAGCCATTTCCTGTGCCTTAAGTGGGTTTCCAAAAATTTCCCAGGTTCTGTTCAGAGGATACTCACTGCAACCCTACTAGCTAGATAGGAACCCTATAACTTGTAATCTGTAGCCCTTGTCAAATTCTTATCTTTCAACACCAATCTTTATATCTAAACGTCATTTCCAGTTGGTCAGGTTCTTAGAAATAGGGTTCCAGTACCTACCATGATAGTTTGCATACAAAGAGCTATTGCTAAATAGCTGCCATTCTTAAGTACCTACTATGATTCTACCACAATTTTGCAAAGTAAGTAGTATTGTCCCTGTTTTAAATTGTGAAGAAACTTAGTATCAAAGAGATTAAGAAATGTACCCAACACCATATAGTAAGTTGCAGAACTGGTTTGTCTGATTCAAAAGCTCTTGCTATTTCTTCTATGCCGTATTACCTTGGTACTAAAAATAAATAGTTAAAACTATTTAATAGACGCATTTATGGTAAAAACACACTACTGAAATTACTTTGCTTACATTGTCAGTATGCTACTTGGAGTCTCAAGTACAAAAGCCTTCTTTTATTTTATCCCATCTAGGTTCCCTTTGGTCCAAATTGGCAGCATCTCTGTTGGTATAATCCCAACTCTATTCCTGGCTTTTGCCTACTTGGCTGATTAATTCCAAGGGTAATCTCACTGTGGAATGATTATCCAGCCACACCCTCTCCTGGACATGCTTTCTCTGTTTTTGCAGTACGCGTAGATCGAGGATTTTTCCAGATCTTCCAAGTTCTCCTTGCTTTTTGCTTAGGGATTTCTTCATCTGTCTCCTCTTACATTTTACAGCACATCGTAGGGAGAAGCCAGGCCACACCTTCAACACTTTGATTAGAAATCTCATCCACTAAATATTTAATTTCATCATTTCTAAGTTCTTTCTTCCACGAAACACTAGAATACAATTCAGCCAAATTCTTGGCCAGTTTATATCAATGTTCACCTTCCTTCCAGTTTCCAGTAGCATGTTCTTCATTTCCACCCCCCTTCTCACCAGAATCACCTTTACTGTTCACATTTCTACCAACAGGCCCTCCAAGGCCATCTAGACCTCGAAACTGTTTCAGCTTCTGCCCATTAATCACCCAGTGCCAAAGCCACTTCCACACTTTCAGGCACTTGTTAGAGCAGCACCTCACTCCATGGTACCGACTCTGAATTAGCTCGCGTAGGCGGTCATTAACAGAATACCACAGATTGGGTGGTTCAAACAACGTACACTTATTTTCTCCCAATTCTGGAGGCTAGAAGTCCAAGATCAAGGAACCAGCAAGTTCCGTTTCTGATGAGACCTCTCTTCCTGGCGTAGGGAAGACTGCTCTCACTGTGTTTTCATTGCAAAGTTTTCCTTTGTGCACGCTTGGAGAGAATGGCCTCTGGTGTCTCTTTCTTCTTATAAGGGCACCAGTCCTATTGGATTAGGACTCTACCCTTGACCTCATTTAGCCTTAATTACCTCCCTAAAGGACCTCTAGTCACATTGGGGGTTAGGGCTTCACCATATGAGTTCTGAGAGACCCAATTCAGTCCGTGACAATGGGTCTCGTAGAAATGCATGTAGCAGTCAAGTATTGGGGCTGAATACAGGCTACTTTAGCGTTCCTGCTACTCTCATTATGCCATGTTTTTTAAGCATAATATTAGCATTTATAATGCAACTAGTTTAGTTTAGCTCCCGCTGGAGATTTTGAGAGCTTGTGTGAAGTAGAGCTATTATGTTAATTCTCTCTGCACTTCTCTGAAGCATGAAGTCAGTGTCATACGTTTTAAGGGTAAAACCGTGTCTCATTCAAAGAGGTGCTTGAAACTGCAATCTAGAAAATTGCTTTTAAACAGCTGGGGGAAGATGTTCATAGTCTCAGAGGACATGATTTAGAAAATGATTCACCATGAGGTTTTGAAAAATCTACATTATATAGGAAAATTGTTGATTTTTCTGACACCTTTCTGGGAATATTAATATAATACAGATCCATACATAGTCTTTGGATATTGTAAATTATATTCCCAGTTTACTTTAGGGTTTCTTTTTTTTGGTTTGTGTTAATTCTAGTTTTTCCTCACAATGTTGGAGGAATAAATAATAGAAAATATTCTAATTTTAGAGCATAAACATATTACTCAGATTTCTAAATCTTAGAGCAGGTGGTATCTGTGTGTGTCTCTAAAACAAGAAGGAACAGCATTTTTTTCATGATACCATTGGGCAGAAACTGAGTAAAGGGTACTCAAGATCCCTCTTAAAACCCCATATGAATCTGCAGCTATCTTAATGAAATTCAATTTAAAAATGAGTGTGAAACTATTATATAAAACTAATAACTTTGTATTTTAAATCTATTTTATTTTTAGGTTGTTCCTGCATGGTTGGTAACATAATCACCATTGGCTTTTGTAAGTTGATACTTTAATTTTTTACCCCCCTGACACTTGCATTTTCTGATTACATGAGAATTCTTTTCTAGAGAACCTGGAGCCAAAATTGGAGCAAAACTATTCTGTTATGTGGTTCTTATAATATTTTTAGGTCTGTTTTACTTTTTATAAATGCCATTAGGTGATAAATAGTTGTTTTGAGGAAGTTTGAATCACACATCTTGAGCTGGGGCCAGTTGTTTCTTTGGAGTGACTTCCTATCAGGGTTATGATCAGCAGAAGCAAAGTGCTGCCTGTGGAGCTGAAATTGTATGTGTATCCATTCTTCTGGACATCAGAGTCTTCACTGAGACATCTTTGTGACAGATGATAGGGATACAACTCCCTGGGAGAAGGCCACTAGTGTGAACAGTTTGACTAGTGAGGCAAAAGGAATTTGGTTTCATTTACTTGTGAAAATCTGGCAATTAGATGATTGGGAGACTTTAGCTTTAATTCCCATTTTATCATTGGGAGTAGCAATATTTCTGTTCCATAACTTTTTCTTTTAGTATATTGAAAAATAATTAGAAATCCTGTTTTAGTAATTGTGTTTTTGTGTGTGTGTGTTTTGTTTTTTTCAATTCAGTGAAATCCAAACATTTGAAATAGGGAAACTTGAATAAACATTTTAACCTAATGAATTATTCACTGTATCACTGAAAACATTTATTGTATTAAGTGGGTTTTATTTGGTTATCTCTTAGAATAGAGACTGCATTACCAATATGGAAAAATAAGGTTATGAACCATAATATGCAGCCAGTAGTTTTGATTTATATGTCATAAATTTGATGGAGAAGAATTGAAATATGTTAAACTAATTTTAAAGACCTCTACAAGAAATATTGACTGAAGTTGGCTTTGTTTTTCATCATGTTAGCAATAATTGGAAACTTAAGATAATAGGTTCACTTCTTATGGCTAGAAAGGAACTAACATATTAAGAATAACTGAAAGAAGAAATGTGTATTTCAGGAATTTCTACACTAAATATATACAGCACTGTTACCAAAAAATAAACAATAAGATCTTAAGCAAGCAGAATGTGTTTTTAATGTTTAGATGTAAGAAAGATCTGCTGAAGCTCAAGTTCAGCAGAATTTTGTCAGTTGTAGGCTTTCCCAGATTACTCAATAAGGAAGTCTGAATGCCTCATTTGAGAACTTTAATTATATTACACATGATTAAAAAGATATTCAAATCTCAATCACCTATATATTTCTATATACTTCATTTTCTTTTTCGTTGCTTGTTTGATTAGAAGTTTTTTGGTTTAAAAAAAAAGAATAGGTCTTGATACTTTTAATAAGTGGTAGTCGTTCCTAATGCCATTTTGTTATTGAGGACTTGGAGTGTTCTATCAAAGTTTAGCTCCAGAAGCTCTCTTTTTAAGAGATATAAATTAGGGAGCAGATAGCATGTTGGAGAGAGAAAATTTTAGAACCAAACACAGCCTGGCTTGAATTCTGGCTGTTATGCCAGTAAGTACATGGTTATGAACAATTTAATGAACTTTTCTTAGCCACAGTTTGTTATTTACAAATTTGAAATAATAATAGCTGTGAGATTTATGAGGATTAACTAAGGTGATAGACCTGGCCATTAGCAGCATTCAGTAACTATTAATCTTTAAACTAATTCTGTATTTCTAAGTACTGTAAGCTTGAGATACTAGTCATAAATAATTTTACAATATACTTTATAGAGAAGACAGTATTTTATTACTTATTATATATAGTGAATTTTGAAAAATTATATATTTTTATAGAAGAGAAAATGACTAGGAGACATGGGCTGATCTGTATGGACCTAACAAGTCACTTTTTGCATTTTCTTTTTAGCTTTAATGTAATCTCTACATCTTATCAAAGTAGACAAAAAGAAATGAGGTAATGTAGATATGTCAGTACTGTACTTACTTGTAAATATAAAGCACTAATGGAAATGTAAGGAAGTGGAACTTCATAATGAGGGGATTTCCACTGTGACTTCTAGCCATGATGTAGTAACACGAACTGGATTTATTCTCTTGCCTGAGCAGCCAAGAAAAAGAACCCCATAAAATATATGAAAAAAAAGGTTTTCAGACACTGGACAAAGAATGTCAGAGTAGATTTTTTTTTTTTTTTTTTTTTAAAAGCATTAACTATATACTGCCTACAAAAAATGTACTTCACGTATGTAAAGATACAAATAGTTTGTAAGTTAAAGGATGGAAAACAGTATTTTGAACTGAAATGAAAACATATTTCCAGATAACTAGGATGCAGCTATAGCAGTGCTTAGAGGAAAATTCATAGCCTTGTGTTCCTATATTATAAAAGAGGAACATTCTCGAAATAAGGGTTCAATATAAGGGATTGTTAAAGTTGTCTCAAATATCAGAATGTCTTTTACTTGAAAATATGCTTGTTTCATGTTACTGAAGAAGACAATTATGGGTGGTTATAAGAGGGCAGCTCTTAGCTCTTCATAGGAAAGAAATAACCATCAGACTTCCCCAGCTATGTTCCCCTAGATATCCTTACAATTTCTTTCCACCTATTTCTGAGATAAATGGTAGTAAAGGAAAAATATATTTTGCAATGTTAAGAGGCTATAGATTTATATACACACTTAAAACAATGTATTAAAGGTAGATAATGCAATATAAGAATGAGCAGTATTTTTAAATCACAGAACTATAGAATTAGAAGTACCCTTAAGTGGTTTTAGTTAAACAAAAGTGGACTGAACTCCTTGCCTTTTTCGTATTTAAAGCCTTGAATTAAAAAAAAACTTTTAAAGGGGGATTTATTTCCCAAGTTTGAAAACCAGCAAAAGCATTGAAGGAGAACTGAATCACATGAAGTGAGATATCTATTAATTCTTTGAAAACTTTAAAGCACTAGCTGTATGCAATAAATATCTCTAGTATTTTTCTCTTCGTGTGGCAACAGTCTATGACTTTCTGCCTAGCACCAATGCATTTGAGGGATTTGCCTCAATTTGCTTTTTAAAAGACAGTTCAATTACTGTTTCTACATTGTATAGTAGCATATCTTTTATGACAGTTTGACGTTGGTTGGTTTATTAGTTGGGCCCATAAATTCCTCAACTTGAGTGCTAAATATTTAGCTCTGAGGGGAATCATGTAATCCAGAAGCTGAAAATTAAATTTTATGTCTTTTATTGAAAAGGAAGCATTTTCCCCATTTTAACAAGTTTTATGTTGGTTTGATTTTCAACATCAATGGTAGTAGCTACCCTGATTAAGCACGAAGAGAAAAATACATATTATGCTAACAGAGTTCGAGGTGCTTTATACAAGTTGCCTAATTTGATCTTTAACAGACCCTATGAGAAAAGACATTATTCCTTTTTTACAGATGAGGAAACTGAGGTTGTAAAATATTGTTAATTGCTTAATTTATGAAACTACGAAAAGGCGACACTATACTTTAAATATGGATCTATCTGATATCAGAGTGCAAACACTACCTTCTTGAATGAGCGATGCAGCACATTGGGTTTAGATAGATGACAACTTATTTCATATAGCGATGGTGAGAGAAATCAGTGAATAATTACATGTGTACATGGTAGCTAGGTACAGTGGAAACAGCATGAGGTTTAGAAACAGAGTACTGCAAGTTCTAACCCAGCCTTTGGTAAATCAGTTTATTGCTTCTAAGCCTGTTTTCCTCATTCAAAAGTAGAAATTAATAAAACCGTCCATCTCGGTTGACTGTGGGGAAGATCACATGGATATTTCTAAATGCTCTGTAAATGCTCTTGAAAGGCACACAAATGAATCGATGAGTGCGTTTTGTCATTTGCTGTAGCCTTTAAGTAGTACATTTTTGAGTGCTTTTAAAAAATGATTTGCTTTATAGAAACTTAATGAGTTTCCAGAACAGCTCTCTTAGATTTAGAATGATCTGTTATGTGAGGAGTTTCTACTCAAAAGACCAGCTTTTTTCAATGAGATATCTTTTTTGAGATATATAATTATTTCACAATACCTGGTAAGGGAATTCTTGATGTTTCTGCCTTTCCTAAGTTCATCTCTGTCCCAACTTGAGTCAGTGAAAGTCTCCCTGAGGGCACCCTGTACGAAATGGAGAAATGGCACCTTTCTTTCAGTCAAAGGAGGAATCGTGACAGATCAGCCCTGAAGCTCCAAAGATGGGCATGTGGGAAGGTTATGCTCTGTCAAGGAATGAGTTCTCCATCCCTTCCATTCCAATGTTGTTTATTTTCTTTTTAGGCTAGGAATTTTGAAACTTAATTTATGCCTTCCCATGTTCACTCAGGATTAGTGACAGCAATGGAAAGGAGCTCAGTAAAAGTGGACACATTTTGTTACAGGTTTTCATGAAGGCTTTGTCAAAGGAGCAGTTCAGAATTCAGCGGAGACCTTGGCAACCTTTTAATTATATCTGCTCAGTGTAGGTAACCAATCAGGGTAGTCCGCGTCCTCTCCTAGGCCCGCCTCACTCCCACAAACACACACACAGCTCATTCACACACAGACTGTCATTTAGGAGCTTGGGTTACCAGTTTGGATGATTCCCCAGCTCAAATCAAAAAGCTAACTGTTCTGTCGCCGTTCACGGTTTTGTTTTGCAAACAGAATTTACGCAAACGGACTCCTTTAGGTCTAGCGGTGTTTGCGGGAGGGCGGCCACGAGGGAAGCCCTGGGGACTGCGGCTCTAAATTCATCATCTGTCGTGGCTCACTGGGTCCCCGCCAATAATAAGAGCTGCGCCTAGGGCCGGACTCCGGTCATCGGTAGAGCCATTGATTGAGAATAAAGTGTCCCCGTCGTTTGGGGACAGTGACACGAAAGAAATTGCAGATTAAGTGAGAACATCACTTGTAGGATAGCAAGATGGAAGAAGAAAGGGAGAGTGAGCGGGCGACGTTTATTTATGGACTGTCAGGGGCCACTGAGGCTCCGCAGGCCCCAGCAGCGCAGGACTTCCCTCGGCGCCGGTTTTCTCCCCCTGACCTTGGATGAACTAGCGCGCAGTATATTATGCCTGGCGATTGTGCTGGTTTGTCATGGTTAGCATTCTGGACTGTCACTGGAATGTAGGAAACGGATGAATCTGAATTGAACCATGAGGTGGTCTCGGGGCCTTCTCCCTTGTCTCGAGGAAACCTGTCGCTGTTTGTCTGGGCCTGGCCTAATGAAAGCAATGGAGGGAAAGAGAGGTGGGCCTTTGATCTCTTTGTTGCAGCTGCTCCCTGGGAACTCGCTGAAATCAATGCCCTGTTTTCCTGAAGGAGTGAATGGCTCTGCCTAACTAGCTTTGTGAAGCCGTGGGGGAATTCAGTGCCTCTGTTTATTGACAGCTGAAAAGGAGCACATGGGGTGGAATGGACCTTCTTGTGAAAACCAGGCACAAGGAAAATTAGAGCTCAATTTAACACAGAGGAATTTGGAAATTCACCCCGAAGGAGACGGTGGTTTCTCATGCTTGCATTAGGATTACTCAAGGTTGGGGCTAGTGTGTGACGAACAGTGGGGGTTCTGTCACAACTACGTGATAAGTGGGAATATGGGATACGTAATAAACGATGCTCAGCAGAAGTTGAGCCAACACACCCCTCTTCTTTTTTTAAACACAGAAGTAGGGAAAGACAAATATTAACCATGATATAATCAGGTGATTATTTTTGCCTGAAGAAAAAAAAGTGATGTTTAACGTAGGCATTACTAATGTAATACGAAGTCTCTAGAGTGTGTCTTCTGTTCATTTATGTTCCAGAACACCTTTGAACTTTGTATCTAACTTCCACGAATGCTACCTATTCATGCCATTCTGGATTTTGTGTGTCAGAGGGGAATATTAAACACGTGTATTTTTAAAAACTTGTATTTTGGGGATCTTTTAACTGAGAGTCTGACTCTGTCGCAGGGAAACCGCCATACCTTCTTTTTACGTCTCCCCACTTGCTTGATTTCCCAGGAAGAATTTATGGCTTCTTCCCTCGGCCTCCAGCCCTTTGTGCACACCTCTATTATAGCACTTAACACAGTGCCCTGTAGATCTTTGTTTAGGTGTTTTCTTTTAGCTGGAAGTAAAGCAGCTGTGCCGAATTCGTTTTTTTACCTCCAGGCCTCGCTAAACTCTTGGCTCGTGAATGCCTGCTGAATGAATGGGGATTGATAGCTCCCCTTACGTTACTTTGAATGTAATTGCTTATCCAGGCTTCGACTGCAAATACTGCATTTTAAGAAAACCTGATTGATCTATTGTTACCTGATGGGGGCTATAGTCTTTTAAAGTCTTTCCCTTATGGAGAAATGTTAAACGGTTGTTCTGATTTGGCAGGTTTGCGGGGCAGTCCACCAGCCTCTGGTAAAAAGTGCATAGCACTCTCCTTTTCAAAGCCAAGATCTCTTCTCTAATAGTCTTTCCCAAAAATAAATCCCTGCACGGCATTTAGACATTTTCAGTATGAAGATGGAAAAGCTTTTAATTTAGAGTTGTGTAGAGTTTCACCTAACCAGATTCAGGATTGAGGTGGATAAAGCTTCCGTTTTACATGATTTAATTCTGTGATGTAATGTTCAATGATGCAAAACAAGACATCCTTGGACAATATCTTTAACCAGATTTGTTACCACTGTGTGTTATGAGCCCCCGTATCAAAGAAAGCAGACACCTTCACCTCTCGGTGAAAAGTGTGAGGGAAGTTCTGATTCTAAGGACCTTCTGCTATGATTTCACAGGGCCCCAGAACAAGCCCGACTTCTGAGCTATTCTCAAGTGAAAACCTATTTCTTTTTAAACCAGAGCTTTAAGTGGGAAATAGTTGTCAACATTCTTTGGGAAAATAACATCTTAAAATTATAATGGAAAATTTTAGAAATGATCAGGGTTTGGGGGGGTGACTATAGTTAAAAATTACGTTCTTGCTATGTAGAATCAGATAACTTCAACTACATGGTCCTACATCAGAGAGACTCTGTTTTCCTCAGGACTGAAGACTGCTACAGTATCCAAGAAGTAGTAATTTAAAAGAGTCAAGCCCACAAAATAGGTTTGGGGATCAACATATACTAGTCTGTATGTGTGTGTGCATTTATTTCCATAAACAAACCTCCTAGTAGACAGATATTTCCTTCTTAGATGGCTTCCCATCCATCCAGACTGACCAAAAAGAGCAGCCCCAATAGGGAGACATCTCCTTACTGTTAGATTGAATGGCAAGAAATACTATTCTGATATGTAGCATTATTAAAAATTACCTTTACTGGGTATGCTTACTGTCAACAAGTTTTGCCCTCTGGCTTCTCTAGTAGGAGCCTTGTCTTTGAAGAACAGAACTGGAGTTAAGCAAAGGTGCTTTTTGCTTCGGAGTTTTTGTCGTCTGTCTGCCTTTTAGTGGCCTTTCCTTGCTCCTTAGAATCCCATCCCCTCACTCCACGTCACCTTCAGCCCTGCTCATGGACCTGTTTCCTTTTCCCAAAGATTAGTGTAAGAACACTTTTTTCAGAAAGGTTTGTCATCTGATTTCTGCTCAAGGCTGTGAGGTACTTTTACTGAATTGGGGTCTCTGGAAAATAATCTCAAATGCATGAGGGCTCCTTGCTTATCATTTGGTGTTAAGCACTTTGCTCAGATGAATCATTTATTCCTCAAAAGGCTATTGTGCCATAGCTACGATGATTGTTTCCATTTTACAGGGAAGGAAGCAAAGGCAGGGAGAGACTAAACAGAATGCAGGGGTTTCTGAGTGGCCCCAGGTGGCACCTGGATTCGGACCCAGGCATGCCGGCACCATAGCCCCCGGCGGAACCACATCACCGCATTCCCTGGGGAAAACTAAAAATCCTTTAAGGCGCAAAGGTGTGCCTCGGGAACGTGGGAATTTGCCCCTGTGGCGTGTTGACGGGAGGCATTTTTGACCCCCACCCGTTTGCCATACGTTAATGTCTCCTTCCGCAGGCCCAGGAGGGTTTTCCAATGCCTTTTTTTAACCTTTGGATTGTCCCCCCTCCCCTCTAGGATTGCCCTCCATTTGATGTGGCCTGTGCTTCGTGTCACCTCTGTAACTCCGCTGTGCCTCCGCCTTAGCAAGGTAAGGCCGCCAGTGCCAGGCCGCCCGCTTCTGCCGCGGCCTCGCCTTCTCTGCCTCACGGTGCGCACCCAGCTCTGCCTCCTTGCCAGTGGAAGGGCTTTTCTACGCTTGGGTTTTATTTATCATGACTTGTTTACTAGAAACTTTACGACCTCCCTCCCTTACATTTTAAAAAGATGTTTTAACATTGTTTTATCTCACAAAACAAATGCATACCAGGACAAAACTGGGGGTGTTACCCTCCACTTAGGGTCACATTTAGTATGTTGCATATGTTACAGTTCCGTTTCTAAATCATGCTCCTAAGATCGTAACGTGAGGTGATTCTCAGTTTGCATACGTTCTGTCCAAATTTCCTAAAGTTGTGAAATACGTGTTAGGAAATAAGTGCCCCTAAATCCAGTGTTTATTTGAGGGAACTCGTGGCTGGCACGATCCATAGTTTTTATCTCCTATCGTTCCCCATACATCTGGAGATTACGATTTGTATTAAACACCTATTTCAAAATAATCATTCCTGCCTTAAATGTCATACTCAGCATTTTGGTTGTTTTTCCCATGTAACATACATTCTGTTCTCTGTTTAAGCCCGTTGCCTTTTTCACCCTAAAGCAACCCTCCCCCTGTTTTGCAGCTTTAGCGCTAACAGTGTTGCTTAACCATAACGCTTGGCCTCTCTCCAAACATTTTTTTACAAAATGTCCTTGACTGCAATATGCCATAATTTTTTTTAGTTGCTGTGTTCTTTGTAAGTTTTCTTATATTTCATCTTACACTTGCATTTTTGTTTTCCCTAAATCTCTCACTAGATAAACCACTTCCAAATTTATTTTACTCTTGGGGCTGACTTCTAGAAAAGCTATCCACAGCTGCTCCAGTTGGAAGCCAAAGTGGACAGAAAGTTAGATGGGTGTGTTTAAATTCCTGTTCTCCAGATAATTCTAGTTGAAACTAGTCCACTTCCCCACTAACGCATACAAAAGGAAAATTCTAGCAATATCCAAAAATGCCAGAATCATTTCTATATATCATTTGGGTAACTTTACAACACTGGCAAGACCAGTTCATGCCAGGCCCATCTTTAATTGTTTTCTTTAGTTAAACATGCTATTGCCATTAAAAACACAGCTGATAAGATTACACTACTTGATAATTTAGAAATCTTTCAAATGTACAACATATAAAACTTAAAGCACATAGGAAATTAGAAATTTCTTTTATAAGTATGTGTTAGGAAATGGAATTGTATCATGATGGTCCAAATTAAGAAAGACTGCTGAAGCGAATCAGGGATGTCCCCTCTTTCTTTTCTACTGTATTCTGAAACACGTTATTAATGCTTTTTTTCTAATTGTGAACTTAACCCAGTTTGTAAAATCGTTCTTGAGACTTATTAACAGAGCACATCTACTTTGTGCATATACTTTAGACTCTGTACCAGTCAGTGGGCCTCTGTTTGTACATATGTAATGTATAATCTTTTAACAGCCCTGCAAGGTAGAGAGCTGTCACCGTGAAGAGAGGTTAGGAACTGGCCCCAGGTTACACACCTGGCAACTGCAAAGCCAGTGTTCAGACCTAGAGCCAGCTCCCTGCAAAGCCAGTGCTCTTCCTCCTCTACCAGCCCATCTTCCGTAGGCTGCACAGGCACTTTCTATTTTTTTTTGGGGGGGGGGGGCAGTTTTTTGTTTTGTTTTTCCCCAAGGAAATTACCACGTCACTGATTTTAAGGTATAAAATGGATAAACCCAGGAACATAATCTGAATGTCTCCTGCCTAAGGTCGCTTTCTGTAGCACAAGCCTGAGCATATCGCTCTCCTGATGAAAACCTTTCAGTGACCTCGATTATTTAGGACTCTTGGTTGCAGTTGACAGAAACGAATGGGACTGTTAAAGAATTCCATACAGCCAAGTGACAGGAGCATATTTGCATGCTAGCAGGATCACTCCAACAGTAGGTGGTGGTTAGGATGAAGGAGAGTCAGTCTTCCATATGTGGAAATGTCCCTGCACACTGCCCTAATGAGACTCCAAGCTCTTGATTCACTGGGCTGGTAGGAGGTTTAAAGGAAGCCACGTGAAAACTGAGTTTTGGCCGATAGAGTGGGCTGGCCCTCCATTCTCCAGCATGCCTTCCCACAGTCCCCCATCCCCACCCCCATCAAGTTTTGGGGCACTACAGGTTAGAAAGCAATGTCCTGTACAAGGTTGCCCACGTTAGGGGATGGGCCTTGTGCATGTTCATTAGCTGCCCTCTTCCCTCCTGGGCCCCACGTGTCTGGTGTGAGGAGGGAGGCGAGTGTCAACAGAGGCCGAACTCCTGTGAGGACTGAGTGGCCCCATGCTCTGGTTGCTCTGGTTTTCTAAACATCTGCCTGCTTGCTTTTAACACACCCTCGCTTCCACGTTCCCTGCTTGCAAGTTCTCTTCTTGGGTGCAGTTTCATACAAACGTCTCAGCTTCCTAAAAACCAAAGCGGAGAGGGCACTGTCTTGGCACACTTTGCCTTCGCAACAGGGCCCATGGTCCCCAGGCCAGTCCTCGTCTCCCAGGTCCATCTTCCGCCCGGATGTGCACCCCACATGCCGGGCAGACTTAGTGGGCGCCTATGTGGCAGGAAGATGGGATGGGGATCCCTGGTCACTGATTTTTGTACATCTGAAGCTCTTCCTGCCCAACTTCTGTTCTAAGAGTTTTCTTTGAACAGTGGCTCCCATGTCTTGAGTCCTCTCGTTTCCAGCAGGGCCTTTGTAAGCCTCGTCTGAAGGTCTCTGACATTCCGCCGCAGAGCTGAAATGGGATTTGCTTTGAGGACATGCCTGGCCTCAAAATCTGGACAGCCTTAGCCATTTCATTTGGTGCCACATGTACCTACCAACACTGCCACATCTTTGAATCAACAAATATGCCACATTAAGGACTTGTATTCCTTCTCCTGGGGTGGGAACCACCCCCCTCCTAAGCCACCTCAGTTTCCAGAACACGGTCATTTCCATCTGCTGGGAGTCCACAGCCCCACTCCCCGTCCCTGCATGCGGGTCCCCAAGCTCGGGGAGCAGGGCTGCCCTTGCCTTGGCACCGGAGCACTGCCTTCTCTCTTTCCTTATTGACTTCCCTTTTTTTTCTTTTTATTTGGTTTAAAGCAATTTGGAGTTTAAGATAAAGTCCTTAAAGATAACTTTCTCTGCCTTTCCCTTTCTAGGTATTTGCATAGGAGTCAGAGGAGTTAATCCTGTGAGTAAAGCCTTAACATCTGCTTGTTTCTGTCCTCTGTCTGTCCCCCGGGGTCCTGAAGCACAGGCCGGACTCCAGCGCCTTTGCAGAGTCCAAGCTCCTTTGCAGTGTCCAAGCTCCCTCTGCAACAGGGCGGGGGCCTTCTTGGCACAGGAGTCTGGCTCCGGTGACGGTAGTTGCAGCCAGCCTGTAGCACAGATGTGCACTGGCCTAAGTCTTAGCGCCTGGTTGAGGCACCCGAAGTCTGCATCTCGCTCCATAGCTTCAAGTATGCAGGAAGTATCCCCTTTTCTTCCCCATAACTACCTTAATTCACACTCCAGCCCCCACCTGGCCAACCTTGAGGGAAAGTTCATGGCTGTCACTTTTAGATGTCTTCCCTTCTCTCATGGGGTATGTCCTAGAACCTGGAGATTTTCACGTACCTGGTAGGTGAGGGACTTGCCTCTGGCCTTTGGCACATCACAGTAGTGGTCTCTTGAAGCCTCAGAGCCACCAGTGGAGGCTGGAGATGTCTTGCTCAGGTCTGGCTTCCCTGAGCGCACCCCACACATGTCCTCTGGAGGGTTCTGCGCTGCCTTGCGAGCATCCAGAACATGTTAGCTATTGTTACTAGTTGGTGCCAGTGGCTAAAACCTGTAATTCTGGAAGAGCGGCAGCGATTCGAGTTAGCTGCCTGGAGCCGCTGCTTTAGAACAGGTGACCTTCAGGGGGCACTGCGAGACATCAAGGTAAGAGGCAGGTAGATGGGTTCAGGGCTCTGGAATTTGAAAGTTTAGGGTTGTAGATAGATATTTGGGAGACCTGTGACCTCAAGAAGTAGTTGAAACTTTGAGTTATGAAGAAGGTCCCCCAGGGATTGTGAGAAAAAGTAGAGGGCCAGGTGCCAGGCTCCAAATCTATTCATATCTCTGGTGACCCTTCACAACATGTCCCTCTGTGTCGTATGAGTATAAATATCCGTTTAGGGTCTTCACTTCAGAGGTATAGTCTTATTGTTCACCGTGGTGCATAGATTTCGTTGTCTGTAATCTACCGTATTGGGTGGGCTCCTTTCCATGTGGAATTACGGACTTTAGGAAGTAAAATTAAAAACTTAGTTGAGAAGCTTTTCAGAAACAAGCCTTGTCCATCTTCTTTCTAGAGAAGTCCTTCACTGGAAACCAAGGCAGAATTCCCAGTGTGTGGGGCTTGCCCAGTTCCTCCCCACCCCAATCACTAGAAATAAAGAGCAAAGTCAGTCTGAAGAATTGACTGAAGCAGAATCAGGAGTAGCTAAAAGTGAATGAGCTGAAACTGGAGGGAAATCCCTTTGTTCAATTTGGGTTTCAGTGAATGCTCAGCGGGCGGCTAACCCAGTTCATTAACAGAAAAGACATGGTCTTAAACGCTGCTCTCAGAAGTAAATGCCCAGAAAAACACATCACGACAACCAAAACACGCATTCCAGAAATCGTATGCTCTAGATTCGTGAAACTTTAGTTTTTGTCATCAATGAAGAAGCAGATCATTTTCCCCCAAATATTTCCCCACATATTTAAAATCATTAACCTAGAACAAATCTGTCTGCAGTGTGCCAGCCCTCATTCCTAGAAAAATGTGATTTTTCTTGCTCTTCAGGAGCTCAGACACATTTGTATTTAGGGAGGTTGATGTTATAGGGCCATTTTTTACCATGTACATTTTTTTTATATAATTAACACAGTAAAACCCTTCTCTCTGATTTTGAAATCTAAATTCAGACCTGAGAAGCAGCCTGCAAGTCGCATCCTGCCAGACTCAGATGTGTTCTTTTTCTGAACTGTCTCTCCTCTGCTGTGCTAAGGTGTCCTCCACCGCACAGGATTTCCCCCAGGGCCATGCGAGCTTTCAGGTTCTCTGTGGCATTGTTAACTCTTTAAGCGTTAGACTGGTGCCCTGGTGGCAGGTGGGAAAGGCCGGGGACTTGATCTCCTCCCGGCCAGGGTTCTCCTCTTTCACTGGCGCTGCTCACATTGAACCCCTTAAGAATGAGCTCCTGTGTGAGCCCTCGAAGCCCAGGCGCATTGTTGAATTCAGAAAGGAATCGCTTTCTTGTAGTGACAATTTGAATATTTTGACAATGAAGCTAAGCTATTGCACTGCCTGGTTTGCGTACTTCATGTCATGTGCTCCCTCCCTAGTGGGGCGGAGAGCCGCCTCCTCTCTGAATTCATACGTTGGCACTGTCTGTGGGCGAGATGGGCAGGAGCAAGGGAAGAGTCATCCAGAATTTCACTCTCTTGCTTTAATGCTTTTTAAAGCCCTTTAAAAATATATATTTAAGCCAGGGCTTTGGAGAAACAGATAAATGTTGAGCATTTTGAGAAGAGAGCTGGACCGTGAAGATGATTTGTGAAGTGTTTATACATGCAAAGTGAGGGGTACACTTAAAACAAATTCTCTGGATGATTCAGACGACCTGCTCACCTCCAGGTTTTTTCCTGACTTGTGACGGGTTATTTTAAAGATTTAGTTGTCTAAAATGGCCTTAGTTTTTCCCATTTTAACCTACAAGGATGTTCTTGTGCAAAATAAACAGACATAGCCTTTTTGGATCAAATTAAGAAGAGAGGCAGCCAAGTGAAAAAATCCCTTAGATAGCTCTAATTGGCTTTGTTTCGCAATAGATTTACCTTTGTACTGGGTAAGGAAATCCTGAAAAGCTTCTCACCTAAGAGGATCAACTGGTTGGAATAGTCTTAGTTGGAAGAAGCCAAGCTTTTTAATTAATGGGTGAACAGAGATACCGGTTTCCGAATGCTTACCAGGGATCAGTAGTGCAAAGCCGGCTGCAGGCTCGGCCCTGAAGACTTGGTGAAAACGTAAATCCCAGGCCCCAGTGACGCTGTGTCAACCTGTGCCAAGGATTTCCCTGGCATTCTGACGCACAGCCAGCGTTGGTGACCACTGAATTCGGAGCCTTCAGCCTTTCCACCCTGCCCATTTGATAAATCTATATGTCTATACAAAGCTTTTGTTGAAAACAAATGCCTGCTAGTTATTACTGACTTTTTTCAATTCATCATTTCAGGTTTTGTTGTTGCCTAGATTTGCATGCCTGTTTTATGGTATTCTAATACTGTTGACTTAAAAAAAAAACATCGTTTCCTCTGACTGCTATTTTGAATATTTTATGTAAGCAATTGCATGGGTTTTTTGTTTTTTTTTTTTCTTTTTCTAGTTGCAGAACGCAGGGGAAAATTTCAGGTTTTTCTAATCCAGTTGTAAGTAGGACAAAGGATATAATGGAAATACTTAAAGGCCTTCTTGGGCAAGAGTATATGAAATACTGAAAATCATCTAAGTTACAACATTATGAACTTTATGACACCTTTTAAATATATCAGATGGCTCACATGGTTTAAGGCTTTCGCCATATGGTATTTCCGAGACTTTTAAAAAATTTATCTTTATTGTTGGAAGTATTACAGGTGTCCCCCTTTTTCCCCCATTGACCCCCCTCCTCCCTCCACTCCCGTCCCCTCCCTGGGCCTTCCCCGCGCTATTGTCTGTTCGTGCTGAGCTATTTTAAAGTTAAGGGCGGTAGGTCTGTTGAGGTATTGAGGATTTTAAAGTTTAAAATTAATCTGTCACTTGTTAAAACGCATGGAAAGCAGTAGAAAATGTCCCCTGTACGTTATCAGTGGAGTGTGTGGGCTCCGGAGGGGAAGCCCCTGGCAGCGGGCTGGGGGGAATGTTTTCCCAGCTGCATTCACTGACGACCTGCGAGATCTCTTCTTACAGGCGTGAATCCCCAGACACACTTCGGAGGAGACTCCCGTGACCGCTTGAAAGCTGACGTTTCCTGTCACCCAGTAGGTATGCAAGTGACAGTCTCTTTTTAAAATTATTTCTGACGGTGCATGCTTATGAATAGCTGCTTGGACACGCATAGTAAAAGTAGTCAAGGGTGAGTGGGAGGTGCAAGGAACTTCACAAAGGTTCTGGTAGAAAATAAGAAGATATTTCTCTCTCGTCGCAAAAATACCTTAGAACAGAATTCTTAACCTTTAGGAAAAAAAAAGCGTCCGTACACTCTGCAGCTCAGGGAATCGGAGATGCCATTGGCAATTTCCACGTCCCCTGCTGCACCCCCGCCCCAGCCCCCATAGCATCTGCAGATCCATGGACTTTTCTGCTGACAACCCTGTCAGTTCAGAAGCTTTGAGGCTGCCCTGACTACACCCCCAACTTGTATACATAGGGGGATGTCCTCCCCTTTGTGGGAGATGTTGACTGATAACCCTGAGGAAGATGCTGGTCACATACCGGTGGCACTAGGGAATCCACCTGCAGATCCCGAGGCTTTATTTGGGGGCACTGCAGTAAAAGCTGCTGCTCGTGCAGACAGCTCAGCTAAGGGTGCAGGTGGGAGCAGTGCTCAGCTTAACTCAGACCCCTGGGCTGGCCTCTGGGCTCCATCGTGGTCGTCAGTAAGGATGTTCATGGAAGCGAACATTTGGGGCACTGCTTGTGCGCTAGACGCTTTGCTTAGTACAGTTCATTACTTGTAGAATCGTATTCATCAGTGCCTATGGGTGAAGATCTTAAGTCTCTGAACCCCAGTTTCCTCATCTGTTAGATGGGGATAACAATGCTTTTGCCTCTCCCTGGCTGGCAGATGGAAATTATTAGACAAAATAGCACGAGAGGGCTTTATGGGTTCAACTGAAATATATTATTGTTTTACTACGTATTACTTTGGTTCCCTTTGAAATATAATGTTCTTACGAAAGAATATTTTGATCTGTTGGCCAAGAGATTGAAATTCATCCCAACATGCCAGCGTATCTACTAGCAGCCGCGAAAGGCGCTGGCATTTCTAATGAGGCGGGGGCGGGGAATCTCGCATTGTATCTGTTTCCTGTGATTGACATGAGCAGACAGGGCGCGATAGCCGGTAGGGTCCTGGGATGTGTCTGCCCAGTTAGTTGGCGGTGAGTCTGTGGGCTGAGGACAGGTAGGGGGTGGCTAACACACCAGGCCGTAGACACAGGAGCAGAGTGGACAGTGCAGTCACCAGGGAAGCAGGAAAGGCAGCCTGCGGGGAGACATCGCTATAGGCTACTGGGAAGGAGCAGCAAGCATGCGGCGGCGGGAAATGGGGGCTTTTTGCAGCAAGGTGCCGGCCTCCAGGGTGACTGGAGCGCAGCCCCGCACATTGAAACCCCTGCGGATGGGCTGTGGCATGGACCACACATGTGGACGGCGAGGACAGCTCCTTGGAGTGCACATTCCTGCCCATTGAGCTGGGTTTAATGGTAATGGTTTGTTAAACAAACAAAGGACCCAGAGCTGTGAATAGGGGAGAGAAAAGACTTCAGGTGAAAAGGAGAGGAGGCCCTGCTCGCTAGCGTCCCGCTCTTTTTAAGCTTTCTCCCCCATTTCCGTGACATTCCTCTCTTCCTTTCAGAGAAGCCAGCGCAGGAACTTGGAAAAGTGGCCTTGTGTCTCTAATGTCATTTCCTTTGAAGATGGAAACCTGATGAAATGTTTACCACCTTCAAAAGAAATTAAAAACTGGGGTCATCCTGAAGGATAAATATTTACATTTAAGTCCTAAATATAAACCTTTTTATATTTCAAACTAAGTATTTCTGGATGAACTCTTTGCGTCATTTGAACTTACATATGTGACATGGGACCGCAAAGAGAACATTCCCACTGAGGCATCGGTAGTACTGTGTCTAATAAACGAGGCCTGTGGCCTCCGAGGACGGCTTCGGAGGAAGGGGAGTGAGCGGGGGACCTGGGCAGCAACTTCACTTTCCCTTCTTAACTGTACACAGCTTATAGTAAAGTTAGTTCTGGATGCTCATCCATTGGCAGAGCTTGAAAAGCAATAAATAGTGTTAAGTTGTCATTTAAAACAGCCAGTTACATTTGTGTCCACTTGGGTAATCAGATTTGGTCTCAGGCTTGTCAAAAAAAAACCATTTAGAGTTTCAGAGTAGTCCTTTCCGCTGGGCTGTGCCCTGGGGCAATGAAGCTGTCCACGGGGGAGGGGTAAGCGATTCCTTGAGCTGTTTTCTTGTGTAAAGCAATCTGTCGATGAACTGTCCTCACTTTCACTGGCTCCCGATTCCCTATAGGTAACCCCAGATTCCTCTCCTGGGGCGTGGGGCCTTGTGGGTTCGGGGACAGCCCCCTCTCCAGGCCTCCCTGTACTCACACCTGCGGTCCAGCCAGACTGGACCCCGAGATCCCTGCTGCCCTGTGCTTTGTGTCTCTGCTTTTTTATGTTCTTCCGTCTGCCTGAAATGCACGCCCGTACACCTGGTGCACTCCTAGGCTCAGCCTAAGTTCTCATTGTCAAAACTTAGAAAATACAGAGAGTCAAAAAGGAAACACAGAAGTTATCTCTAACTTCACCCCGAGATACTTCGTTGACTGTATTTTTCTCTGCACTTTCAGGCCTTGTTTTGTTTGTTTAGAGGCACTGTTGTTTTAGGATCAAACAGCCCACCTTTGAGTTTTTAAATTTCCTTCGAGAGATGTTTGACTCACGAATCTGGCTTCCCGTCTCCGATGAGACTGGTCTGCTTTTCTTGTTACTTTTCTCAGCTGAGCCTTTACCCTCACACACTTCCTGGGAAGGACCCGGGCCTTTCTTTTCCCTAGAATGCTAACCGTATTAGGACAATGGGCCCTGCTGCTAATTAGGTAGTTTTGGTTCCTCCGTGCCCTACTCTTAGAGTCCCAGGAAAAGAGATCACGGCTGTCAGCTATAGAAGCCTCCCCTAAAAGAGCCCAAAGGCCAGTGGCTGAGGATTTGTTGGGAGGGAGGAGGGGGATCTATTTTCAGATGTCACAAAGGAATAGTCCCCATCACTGACTTTAATGACTAGAAAATCTTCTCCTAATTCCAAAGGCTCTTGTCTGGGTTTCGGCTCGCTGCCCCTCACCCCCACCGTGCTACCTAGAGTTCATTAATAGTCTCCTTACAGCAAGGTCCTTTCCATTTCAGCAGACCCAGCTCTGGGCTCCACACACGCTTCGTTTGCTTGTTTGTGGACATTTGATATTCCTTCCTAAATGTTTATATTTAAAAATATAGTGTGTGTGGTGGGGAGAGGAGGCCTGTGGAAGATTTAAGAATCTATAAAGAAGCCTGCCCTCCCCTGCCTTTCTCTCTCCCCCACTCTCCCCCCCAGAGCACGCCCCCTAAAATCTTTTCCAGTGTACTTTCCTAAGCTCCAGGGACCCTTCTTTTGCCTCTGTTACTTGCTGCTTTAGCCCATTTCTTCTATGGCTCACTCTTACTACCTCTGTAACTTTGTAAATAAACTTTCTCTTATAATTTGAAAAAAATAAATCTGTAAATATGCTTCCTTCCCTCCTTTCTGCAGGGTGGGGTTAATGCCAACCAGCCCATCCTGTGGAAGCCCTCTGGTGGCCCTCTCCGGGGATCCAGCTGTGCAGACCCCCTGCTTCCACTGTGTGTGGAGGGAAGGGCTGGGAGCTTAGGGACCTCTTTCGGTAAAGGCCCCTGCCGTGAAGGGTCCTGGCTCCGGCGTCCTTCCACATTGGTAGTGTTGACTTCTGTCTGCTGTGGCTCTTTGAGGCTCACGTGCCTGGGCTTCTGCCTTTTCCATTGCTTCCGAGGGCTTCCTCCCATTCCAGTTCTGTTGTTACACTCCACCTACTTCTACCTCTTCCCTTCCCACCTTCCTTGTTTCCCCTCCATGTAGACTGGAGTGGCGAGCGTGGCTGTTAAATAGGTTAAGTATCATCTTCAGTCGGCTCAACATATTCGAACAAAGAAAGGCTCCCACCTGTCAAAAGCCCACCTTCTTTCAGTAGATTTTGAGCTGTTGGGGTCTTGCTGTGTACTCTCACCAGTTAGAAATTAGTTTGGAACATCTTATCAAGTTTTTTTTTTAGTGCAAACTTAATTCTCATTTTTGTGTGTTTTTTTAAATCACCATTAACTTGTTGCTACACTGTCTTACCCAAGAGGAACTGGGGGAATTTGGAGGCGAAGGCTTCTCCTGTCCTTGGGGCCTCTGAGACTTGCATGTCCCCACAGGCCTGCTTCCACCCTGTTCCACAATGCAGTGTAGATATCCTAAGGGAGGACCAGTCTAGCTGCAGCCTGCCGTAAAGAAAACAAATTCCTCCTTCCCCCAGGACAGCCCACTTTACAAACCACTCTGGGTTGATCATGTGAGCTTGCTGACAGGGTCTGAGGCCACCCATGTAGGGCTCAGTACTTTATAGAGTCCCTTACAGAAGCAAGTGACATCTACTCCCCTGAAGCGAGACAGCATGAGAGCATCGGTTGCTCTGTTGGGCTACAAGAGTCAGCTCGTCCATGCTGTAGGCCTCCCCGCTGGCCCGGGCGCCCCTTAGGCACCGGGACACTCAACATATCCAAAGGGGAACTTTGAACTCCAAGGCCGTGCTGGATTGTTCTTCTGGCTCTCATCCTTCCCTTCCCTGTCGGCCATCCTGTCACCTCTTTTCTCTAACCTAAGACAAGTTCTAATCTAACTACTCTGTTTACTACTCTGTCATTTCAGCCTGCTCTCCAGGCCTGCTTTTCAGGCCACTGTTATCTCTTCCGAGATATGGCAGAAGCCAAAATGCTCTCCCTCCCCCTGGTCCCACCGCTCTCCAGTGTAGCTTATACGTCGCTGCCATAATTATTGTTAAGAAGTAGAATCTGACAAGTCTGTTGCTTATCATGGGCTCTGTCGCCTGGCCCCCTGGTCATCGGCGTTCGGTCGTCCTTGCCCCTTGTGACCTGGCTCTTCTGTCTTCTGGTTCTGTGGGGCTTAGAGCCCTGTGCTCACGCCTTTCCCGCTGCTGATCTTTCCCGTTGCGACAGTGTTTTGTGGGCTCCCCACCTGCCTCACTCCACCTCCACATAAATGCCGAGTTAGTGGTTCGTAGGTTAGTCATCTCCTAAAGCATAACAACCCCCCCTCCCCCTTCTCCTAGTGGGATGGAGCCAGACATCCCTAACCCTTCGTGACCGGCCTCTGCCTCTCTCTCCAGCCTGTTTGTCCGCACTGTCCCCATACTTGCGCCCTGTCCAGGTCATGCCCAACTCCTTATTGTCAGGAGCCCTGTGTTGGTTCATTCCCTTGGCCCGAAAGACCACTTCTCCCTCGAAAACCGGCCAAACTCGCAGGCTCAGCTGTGACTCTGGATTCCCCATGAAACCTCTCTTGATGTCTCAAGCAAGAGGTGGTCACTCCTTACACAACCGCATTTTTACCTTTCTAGGCGTACCTGTCTATAGAGCAATTGAAAGGAGTCATGTCTGTAACTTCCTGAGGAAGCGCGTCCTTGAAGGCACATGTCCTGTCCCCAACTCTAGTCCTATGTGTGGCCTCTTTCCCTTTGTTGGTTTTGCCTGACTTTCTATTTTTGCCAAGCTAGTTGGTTTAAAAATTGAATAATATTGCAGTGTGTTCGGGTGGTGGGGTGTGTGAAAGAAAACAGAAAATGTCAGATGTAGTAAGCGTGTGACAAAAAGGAAAAAAAAGCAGGGAAAGGGGACATGGGAGTGCCAGGGGTAGGAGTTGGGTTGGTCTGGGACTGAAGAGGCTAATGAGGGCTGGAGTCTCGCCAGCCAAGCACAATGCCGAGGGAAGGCCCACAGAGTACAAGCACAAGGGCTGAGATTTTAATGATGGACCCAGAACTCTGCCTCTCTCTAGGATATTAATGATCGTTGGTTTGAAGTTTTCTCAATAGAGGCCTTTTTAATTCTCTCCTTTAGCCTAGTTGCTTTTTTGTATTTGTTCTGTGTCAGTTTTTCTCCTGCTTTCTGGTGATCCTGGGCTGCCTACTGATTGAGAGCGGAGCCATTAAAAAGCTGACGTCAGCTTTGTGTTCTTAGACGGGGCTAGTTGGCAAGGGCTTTGCTGTGCGCAGGGCAGGTAAATCCTGGGGACGCCATTTGTCCTTGGCGGTAGCTCCTTTCTCTTGGGCTGGTCAACTTTCCAGAGAAGACTCCGTCAGGCTCCTGAGCTGCTTCAATCATAGGAGGGGTAACGTCTCCCAGGCTGTTGAGTAAATTGCTCTGGAGGGAACATAGAAGAGCCTTTTGTGGAGGCAGGGTCTCACCAAACACATTTTCTAATTTCCCCGTGGTTGTAGTGATCTCAGAAACCGAACTGCCATTGTGTCAATGGGGACAATGGAAATAGAAGCCAGAAGTCATGGTTTATTTTGAGGTTGCTGTAAAACATTTGTCCCCCCGTTAGATGATTGGGGACGCCCTGGAACTACAGCTGTGCTCTGGCCCCTCCCTCTCCCATCGTATACTCTCAGCCCGCAGGGAACACAGTCCTTCCTGGCTGTTGCCATATATATATGTTCTTATTCCTATCTGATCCTCTCTCCTCCCTAAAATAATCAGCACGAACAGAATGAAGCAGATGGCACAAGCCTTCTTTGGCATCCTGGCAGATCTGCATCACTCAGTCAGTATTTTTAGAATCAAGGGGATTGAAAATCATGCCCTGAGATGTTTTGGGGGAAGACTTACTATCTCTCTGTGGCGACAGGTGTTGAATGTTACTGTACTGAAGACTCATACGCATTCTGTGCGTCGAGTCACAGAACAGGCTGATTATGGTCAGGACCGTCCCTTTGTCAGTTCCCCGCTAGGATTGTTGGTGGTTTGCCAGATAATAGAAAGTTAATCACAAGTCTGTTTTAAAGATGTGGCCACAAAGCGCGTCAGGTTTCAACCAAAGATTGGAATCAGCAGCAGCCAGCCAGCTCGCTCTGGTCAAGTACGTGGTGATGGGAGATGTTGTATTACCCTCACGGTTTATTTTTTAAAAATAGCTGGGCTTTGATCCTTGGCCACAGTGAATTTATAGTCTGTTGGGAAAGATTATCTTTGTAGAAGTTTGTGATTATATCAGGAAAATCATACAAATATTTAGATTTGAAGGTCCGTATTAATGAAATACACAGTTACAGTGCATGAGATAACTCTTTGTGAATTTTAATTCGTCATGTAAAAAAGACTTCCTGAAGAAATTAACGTTTACTATCATATAATTAATTCAGTTCAACATCTGAGGTGTATTTAACACACAGATCTAAAACTCAGAAAGATAAAGTCTTGGGAAAAGACATTTATGAAGTTAAATAATTTAACTGACTTGACTTTCTGTAGTTCTTTGGGCGAGAGTTCAGTGGGGGAGAAAGAGTTGGAGGGAATGCGCCTCCCATGTAAGTGAAATGTGGCCATGTCTGAAACTCCCTGGGTATGGATTTGCCATCATTGAAGGCCCCAGAGAAATGTAGGTAGTGCTGTCCATGACTGTTGGACTCTAGGAAAGTGGCTGGAGATTGGATCTGGGAAAACTTTATTAATGCCAAAGGGCAGGCACCTCTTATTTTAATCAAACAATCTTCTGGGTGACTAGTGCTATTTTGGGTTCAGCCATGGAGACAAGGAGATGAGTTTCACACTTCAGACTGTGTGTACATTTTGATCATTTTGACAGACCTGGGAAGAACCCAGAGCGGTTTCGAGTGAATGAGCTGAGCATATTTCAGGGTGATCATCAGCTCTCTGCCTTTTATAGCCGGGCCCGTCTGAGCCAGACTTAGGCTGGAGGAGTAGACACATCATGAGACCTGGCAGCAAGAACTCGGCCACATAGGGTAGGATTCCTGGAAGGAATTACTTTGTGGCCAGCGTTGTTGGGGATGCTTCAAAGCAGGGCCTCAGGCACGAACTCGGTTACTGGGAGGGAACGGAGTTGGGGAGAGGGATCTGGGCAGAGCCAGGACAGGGGTTCAGCTCCAGTCCCCACACTTAGACCAGAGGAACAGGGTGTGCGAGCTGCCCTCAGAAGGCTTGGTGCCAGGATGCTGGCTGAGCGCGTATGCCTGGCTTTGGATCGGGGCCGAGCTCCGGGTCGGAGTGTGCGCGTCAGTCCTGAAGGTTGCCGCAGGTGGGCGGGACCGCGAGGGTGTCTGCCCGGTGCCGGCTCCTGTGAACTCGGTCCAGACACTAAACCTCTGAGCTGGCGGGGGGAGAACACAGAAGTTCGCTGCAGCTTTTGCAGGCTGACATAGCTAAAGATGCTTGAACTGTCATTATAAAGTTTCATCGAGTTAGGCTCCAGCGTTCCCATATGAAAGTACCTGAAAACGTAAGGAAAGATGAACTTTCCACAACGCAGAGCAACTCAGACTTGGCAGTAAACGCACAGCCGCAGGGCACAGACTCCTCGAAGACCTGCTGTGATTGTTCCCTTGGCCATGAGTGCGCTGAGTCCTTGACAAAGTACAGAGAGGGCTGGCCTGTGTACAAAAGCTCCTCCAGTGTGTTTAATGTAAGCATATAGTACGCTAATTGGCACTTGAGAGGTTAGCGTCCCCTGCCTGGGAATCTCTCTCTCTGGAACAGCGCAGGGCTCCAGGTAGCCAGGCTTATGCTAAGTGTTGTTCGTGACGCCACCCCAGACTCTTAAGGCTCCTCAGATGATGGTCAGTTGGTAGAAAAAGAAGAGCCAGGTTTTCAGGGACTTTGCCTGGGCTGGAAGGGTGGTAATAATTTGGGTTTGAGACTGTTGAGGTTGAAAAGTCAGCAGGCCCACCTCCTAGAAGTGGCCGGCCAGCAGGAGCCGTGGTCCTCCGGGGTGGGGCTGGGGAATGAGGAAATGCCTCCACAAACAACAGGGGGAGAGGTTACTAAAAACAGTTTACTAGAGGATGGTACCTACACGTTTCAGGGCAGCCTGAGCTGTCTCCCAAACCGCCGTCAGTTTTGTTTCCCTGGGAGTATGTTCTCCCCTCCAGAGGCGCAGGGGTGTATTAAACTGGCCTTTTTCGCATTTTGTTTACATCATAGAGCTGAGCCCTTCTGCATGGTAAACTTACAAGCAAATGAACTTAGACGTATACAAATGATTTCGTCTCAGCCCCTGGAAGTTTAAACAGGTGTGATGAACAACATATGTGATGCTGACAGTGAGTGGAGAGGAATAGCCCCTGGTTTGAATAAGCAGGGATGACTGGGTTCTGTACCAGTGAAACACTCAAACACCAGTTTGTTTCAGTTGGTCAGCTGAGCTCACACTGACCTAAGCTCGTGTCTGAAGCAGAGTCTGTGGAAATAGCCGCCTCTCTCACAAGGAGAGTGTGCGGGACTCCTTGCCACCCGGGAGCAGCACAGGCAGGGGCATTTCTATGCAGGAGGGCCTCTTAGAGCACCTGGGGAGGAGCGGGAGGAGAGCTGCCTTGGAGCCCTCCAGGGGATCACATGGGGTCTGGGCAGCTGGTTCTGAACGGAGGGGGAGGAGAAGCATTGCTTTCCAACAGCTAATGCAAGAAAACGGTTTCTCTTCTCTCCACAGAGTCTGGTGACCCAGGACTAGCCCTGGCTCCAGTGATACAGATTTCCTTTCTCCTGGAATCTCATCTGCGCCCGATACCGCTCTTAAAGTAGGCTGTGGGACAGCAGGAAGCAGAGCTAGTGACCCAGAGAGGCCCAGGTCAGAGTAGAGCCGGGCCCAGGACACCGCCTTTGCCCGGCGGGGCTGGGGCTGGGGCTGGGGTTCAGCGGGGTGGCTCTGCCGATGGGCTCAGCACTAACCTTCCCCTTGTGCTTAAATGGCTCAGCATTTTGTCAGTGCGTCTGAGAAGGAAGGTGTGAGAACAGCACCCATGGCTGCCTACCCCTGCCAGGTGTGTGGCCAGACGTTCCTTACGCTGGAGAAGTTCACTATCCACAGTTACTCCCACACCAGGGAGCGACCCTTCAAGTGCCTGCATCCAGAGTGCGGCAAGGCTTTTGTTTCCAGATATAAATTGATGAGGTGAGAGGCTTTAGAATCGAGTATGTGCTTTTACGTGGCTTTGCTGGTCCTCAGACCAAACACTGCAGGGGAAAAGAGACGCAGAACGCGGGTATATCACAGCCGGAACGCGGTCTCCAGGGATGACTGTAGCTGAATGGGCAGCTTTGCCAGGCCGGCTCAGTTCATGCTTTCAACAAGTGTGTCTTGTGCTCCTGGAACAATATGCCCCATCTGAGAACAGAAAGACCCACGGCTGGGGAGACAGTGCACACACAGACTCCTCGAGTTAAAATGCAGTGAACATTCCCCCCTGCCTGGGGAGATCCGGGGAGGCTTCTCAGAGGGGCACCACGTTAAGCCGGGACCTGAAGAATGAACAGGAGGTAGACGGCGGGGAGGTTCTGGGAAACCCCTGAGCCTTGGCCCTGAAGCCCACGTGTGCAGAGGGTGAAGGAGGAACAGGGTGAGGCTCACAGTGGAGGCAAGAAGGAAGCAGCTCCCAGCAGGCCCGGCCGTGCACTGTTCCCGAGGCTTGGTTTTATTCTGATGAGTCTAAGCGGCGAAGAACATGATTTGATTAGGACGCTGGAGTCACGGCCCTGGCAGCCATTTGGAGAATAGAGAAGAGGCAAGTAGGCTGACTTGAAATCTGTCATAATGNAGAACATGATTTGATTAGGACGCTGGAGTCACGGCCCTGGCAGCCATTTGGAGAATAGAGAAGAGGCAAGTAGGCTGACTTGAAATGTCATAATGGTCCAGGTATGGGCACTTGGAGGCTTGTCCCGGTCCAGACACTGAGGATGCAGAGGAGGGAGCACCTCCGAGCATAAGGTTTCGGAGCAGTTACTCCACTCGGGTCTAAAAGCCACCCTAACCACTGGAAATCTGTGGGGTACGCAGACGTGGAGTGTGTCCACTAATCAGACTTTCGAAAGCATCCACGATGCAGTGAGGGATAAAAACCACTGTTTTAGCAGATTTTTTAAAAAATAGTACGTTTTGTTTAAATTATTTCCTGAGTGCCTATTAAGAAAGAGGAGATGGACATAGGAGATGTAGCTTCTGCCTCCAAAGGGTTCTTACACCGTAGGAAAGACAAAACACAATGTCGGTGGGAGCTGCTCAGCACCCGTCAACCGTGACTGCTGCGTGCCGCTCCCACCGACGGGCGCTTCCCCCGATGCCTGTCACAGATCACGTAATTACAATAAGCTAACATTTAAAATGAGGTTATAAATGCTTACGTTTTTAAAAATTCAGATGTGTTCTGGACCTAGGCCACTCTCCGTTGCCATAGGTGTAAGTCTTGAGCACCTACTGCGTGCACCTACTTTGCTGCCGAGGCTTCCCGTTTCGCGACAGGCCTCTCCTGAGACGCGGGAAGCGGCGCCGGCTCCGCCACGCCACGAGGAGGGCACTGTGACCGTGGGCAGGGACGCGTGTAGGAGGTGGAGCTAGCAGACTACAGGAACGACAGGAATTAGGCGGGATTACCGTGGTAAACCGCACTGAGGAGGCGTCTTAAGCAGTATTGAGGAGGTGGTAGTTCTCAACAAGGGAATCAGCTTGTTGGGTTGAGAGTGAAGTGAGCTGGAAAAGGGGAGCAGGGTCCCCGGTGCAGGGTCCGCCTCTCCGGCCCGAAGCAGCGGCCCGAGAGCAGAGCCGTGGTGGACGGCAGCCGCTGCGGGGTTGGCGTGGTAATGGCAGCTTTCCATCCCGCTTCCCTCCGCCGCAGCACACGCTCCATTTTCTAAGCAGAGGCTGAGGGAGAAAACAACTGACTCGCTTACGAGAAACGAGAACATGGGTCCCAGTACAGCAGACGGTGAGAGCAGTTAGAGGCACGACAGCTGTGAAAACGAGCCTCTCTGAAATTTTAAAGATGACAAACTCAGGGTTCCCTTATATCACTGAGTTTTTTAAAACCAAGAATTTAAGTTTTAGGAATTCAGCGGATCTATGATGGAAATGAAATTGTGGTCGTTTTCCAAACCTAATGTGTGCTTTACAAGTACAAATATAAAATAGCTGCTTGGAAATTCCAGCTTGCCTGGGATGACTGTGGTTTGTCCCTGAAGCTGTGAAACATGTACAACCGCTGCGAGGAGTAGCACCGTGGCCCTAGAGAAAGTCCTTTGGGATGTTGCCAGTGAAATTACCAGGGATCTTCAGGGACCGGGTGAAGGGCTGTACCGGGGGTCTTGAGGAAGTGGAGACGGGCTGGGAGAGAGCCGACAGGAAAGTATCGATAGAGGAAACCAAGACGAAAGCGTGACGATCTCCCGGGAGGCGCGGGGTCCAGGGCACAGGTGCTAGGGCTGGCATTCTGGGGCCAGTTCCACGCTCTCTCTGAGGTTAAGGATAGACTTTTTAGTTCATGTCTATGGCCTGACCTTCTTGTCCAAATCAATACAGACCAAGCAGGAATTGTATTAGAAAGAAGAACCTAAGAGTGGGGGCTCCTGGGGTTCTGCTACCAGGCAAATCGAGTCACTTTGGAGATTCAGGAATTTTCAGTGCACAGAATACCCGTTTAACCCCTTTCTGAAAAATATTTTTCATGATCATATATTTTTAAATACTTGTATATGCTTAGCAGTCTCTTCGCACACATTAGGAAAATACGTACCCAAACCATGTTCTTACAGGTGCGAAACTGCATCCTGTCCTCAGTAGCGCCTGTTTCTCTATTATGACATTTTATGTATGTGTAGAGTCTGGAAACTTCAGAAAATTATTTAAAACTGAAAACAATTTCTTATACCGCCACCTAGAGAAAGCTGCTGCTGACATTTTAATAGTTTCTATACCCCCCTTCGCCTCTTAAAACCCGAGTCCATTGTGCAATTCTCCCTTCTGCCCCTAGACACATGGCTACCCACTCGCCCCAGAAGTCTCACCAGTGCGCCCAGTGCGAGAAGACCTTCAACCGCAAAGACCACCTGAAGAACCACCTCCAAACCCACGACCCCAACAAAGTGGCCCACGTGTGTGAGGAGTGTGGTAAGAAGTACCACACCGTGCTGGGCTACAAGAGGCACCTGGCCCTGCACAAGGCCAACAGCGGCGACCTGGCCTGCGGGGTCTGCTCCCTGGAGCTGGCGAGCACAGAGGTGCTGCTGGAGCACCTCAAGTCGCACGCCGATGAAAAGCCCCCCGCGGCGACCAAGCTGAAGAAGCACCGCTGCGACCACTGTGAGAGATGCTTCTACACCCGGAAGGATGTCCGGCGCCACATGGTGGTCCACACAGGCTGCAAGGACTTCCTGTGTCAGTTTTGCGCCCAGAGATTCGGGCGCAAAGACCACCTCACCCGCCACACCAAGAAGACGCACTCGCAGGAGCTGATGAAGGAGAGCCTGCAGGCCGGAGAGTTCCTGAACGCCTTCCACACCATCGCCCCCCAGTTTCAGCTGAAGGCGGCCGCTCTGGCTCCGTATGCTCTAGGAGTAGGGGCTCCTGTGCAGAATGGGCTTGTAGGGAGCTTGCCAGCTGAGGTACACGGCCTCAATCCTGCAGAGCCACCCTGCCAGGCTGTCCCACCACTGCCAGAGCCCCTGGTGCCTCTGCACCCCATGGCACCTCCGAGCTCCCCCCCTCAGCCCCTCCAGAATCACAAGTATGCCACTTCTACCTCATACCCACTGGCAAACCTGCCTATCAAAGCAGAAGGATTCTGCAACATCAATTTGCTGGAGGACTTGCCTCTGCAAGAGCCTCAGTCACCTCCCAAGCTGAACCCAGGCTTTGACCTGGCTAAGGGCGGCGCTGGTAAAATAAACCTGCCCAAGGAGCTGCCCATAGATGCTGTGAACATAGCAATACCCGCCTCTCTGGATCTTTCCCCTCTGCTGGGCTTCTGGCAGCTGCCACCGCCGCCTGCCCAGAACGCCTTTGGGAACAGCCCCCTGGGCCTGGGGCCTGGGGAGCCCCTGCCGCACAGGCTGGGCTGCCTGGGGCCGCAGCAGCAGGACGCCCCGCTGGCCGTGAGCACCATGAGCCTGGGCCAGCTGGCGCTGCCTCCCCTGCCGCATGTTTTCCCCGCGGGCACTGGTTCCATCCTGCCCCACTTCCATCACGCGTTCAGATGAACGGCTTACAAAGCCCACTTTTCTTATTCTGGAGGGTGACTGAAGGAGCATTTTAAGGTTTTAAGGAGCATTTTAAGGTTTTAAGGAGCATTTAAAGTTTTAAAAAGCATTTGAAACGTCAGTTATAATACAAGGAAAGATTTGGAAAGCAGGCCTGGGATTGGGGCTTATTCAGTAGCGATGGCTGGCTTGATAAGAGTTGTAGAACCGCGTGTATCGTGCCAATCTGCCCTGAGTATTCACGCTTTGTACCAAATGTAATCAGCAAGTATTCTTTAATGGAACTGCAACTAGCTAGTGTCATAATCGACACCCACACGAGGGCCGCTGTGTATCGTCGTTTGTCAAATCGAGTTGAATCGTAAGCCATGATCGTAACGATGTTAATGAAAGAACTTTATGTGGCTCTGCCTAGTGAGGGAACTATGGAAAGTTTGGATTTCTCCAGAATGGGAGAATTTCTTTTTCTTTTTTTTTTTTAAATACGAAAATAACCTTTATATTGCATATTATACTAGTCTGTGTATCTTCTTTCAGGGATCTTTCTACCTTTCGGGGTTGGGTGTAGTTTAGTGACTATTGCCATAGCCAACCTGTAGTTTTATAGAAACAATTACTTGTGGAATAGTAGACGCCTCATTTTAAACAAGCATTTTAAATGTAGTTTGAATATTTTCCACAAGATGCTACAATGTGAGTTATCGCTTCATTTATCTTAAAGACTAAACTGATTGTCAGTTATGTCTGACAAAAAAAAAAAAAAAAAAAAAAAATCACTGTGTAACCAAGTTAAATGGTAAAATAATCCAGCGTCAGTCAAAATAAGCATTTTGCTGACTTTAATGTTGATTATATTTTTAACAGGAATTTAAGAAATATTACTGGAATTTTTAAAGATATATATCTATATTAAACAAGAATTTTCTTTACTCTCTTTGGCTTAAAGTACTACTCTGCTTAAGTATATTTTTAATCACCAATAAATAGAAGCATTTAAAGATTTATCATGTTAAGTCAATATTAGTTTTATTCAGAAAGAATAACATTTTGCAATGTAACTATAATCTATGTAATCTCTCTCTTGAATTTGATATCTAATGAGTTTTGAGAATATGCAACCTAATCTTTTTTAAAAGCTTTGTCTTTTGTGTTTAGAGGCTTTCTATATGAAGATATATCTTACATATAATAAACTTTACATATCCTGACAATGGCGTGTTTGATTTGTTACAGCTACACCGCCTACCCACCCGACCTAGACACACATTCCCAGCTCCCTCGCTGGCTCCCTCATGCCCCCTCCTGGCCATTGCTTCCCCACAGAAACTACTAGTCTGACCTCTATTCAGCATCTACTAGAAACCAACTTTTTTGAGTAGAATTATGACTTAAGATAGAAGCTTGCGTGCGTTGGCTAAATTCACAACACTAAGAGCTTATTTCTAAAAATTACTGTATAAAATTCTGAATCCTTCTATGTTACAAACTTATTTCTGACATACAGGTCAGAATACTAGCTGCTGAAGTTGAGTCTGCCCTGGGCCAGTTTTACAGTGGTGGTTACCATTCATTTCTAGCGTGAGTTAGAAATTTATTTATTCCTTAGTGCGATTTCTTCACAAAGTATTCCCCACCCCGAAATCCAACAAGCCTGTTTATTTTTGTTTGTTTTACCTCTAAATAAGCGGCGGTGGGGGGGAGGGGGTAGAGAAAGGGAAGCCTTGAGTTCATTTGCTCATCAAAGAAGCCCAAGTACCACATGTGGAATCGAATGCACAAAATAAACTGACAAACGAAATAGATCCAGACACATGGAAGCATGGAACAGACGGACGAATCCCGGAGGGAAGGAGGGGGGCAGAGTTTAACCAGAGAACTTAAATGCATATATGCATAACCCATGGACACACACAACAGTGGGGTGAAGGCCTGGGG